CCCCAAAACCCCAAAACCCCAAAACCCCATAAGCAGACAATGGAATAGAAATTATCAGAATTAATATGAAGTCCTCTAAAAAGATTCTTACTAACATCAACTACATCAGCCATATCATCAAATATTACGGCTATCTGCAGGAGTGAGCCAACCTATTTAGAAGACTATGAAAGAAGTCCCAATCTGAGTGGGACCAGAACCAAAAGGCAATAATAAATGTAATCATGAAAACCCCAGAGGCAAGGACAGTCATAAATATTGGCCATATAGTGTACCCTCGTGTGTTAGATTTCTTAATAAAAGGAGACAAATTTAACTATTATGCAATTGAATGTACTTTATACAATAAGCCACACTATAAGAACATTACCAAGTTCTTGAACGTGGTTTATGAAAGAAATAAAGAACTAGGAATATCTAATCCTAAACTATTCTCAAAAATTAAGATCAGCTACAAATAAATCTCCATTTTGGCACCTTGGCTTTGTGAAGAGGTATTTTGAGCTTGGATTTGACTTGAGCTCAATCCAGATGGATGAGTTTGAAGAGAGGTCTGGTTTATTTAGAGAAATATATAGAGAGAAGGCCTCTGAATGAGTTTATATTGATACTATCAAGACTTCCTCAAGTCTTTTCATTGATTTATATCCTCAATGAGAAACAGTACAATTTGATATGTATTTAACTCATAATATTGATGTATTTCTCAAATAAATTTGAGATTCTTGAACTTCATTCTTTGAGTTTAAACAAGCTTTCTGAAATAATGGCTCAGCTTGATACTCAAAATATACACTGAAATTTAATATCATTTGATCACAGGTTAGATTATATTGTTAAAGATGATGAGAGGGAAAATATAGATCCAAACAAATTAAACATCTCCCAAAACTTGTCCAATGTTCTAAATTATTTCCCGAATGTAACTGCTATTAAGATTAAGCAAGAAAATAATGATATAAGTCATGATGCTTTCCAAATAATGACTCAGAGCCGAGATAATATCACTTCAAGCTTGGCTAACATCAATTCTCTCTACTTTAACACTTGCCAAGACAAGAATGAGAAAGTTCTTCACATCAACAAATCAAAAGTTGAATTTATCGTTAAAATACACTCAGATACTTCTGGATATGATGAATTTTATGTCTTACAGGCAGACTCTTTTGAATATTATTGAGAGTCCTACGATAGTTTCTATGATATAGACGACATCCTAATCTTGAAAAGTTCTTATTATTACTTCTACCAGTTTAAAATAAAAAACTACAGACTTCTCTACACCGAAAAAGAAGCTTTGCAACATGAAAGATATTCCGAATATATCAAGAAGTTGTCAGGGCTTAAAGACTTGAAAGTTGCTGATATCTGCTTGATAGGTGTAACTGAAAGAATCCTCAAGAGTAAGACTAAGAGTATGGTGATATCTAGCAAGCTAAGCAATTATAGACCTCATTATTACATTGAAGCTTTTAAGTGTACTGGACGCTATCCGTTCTATGATTGTATCAACTATGATAAACTTATTCCTGTCTTACAATCATTAAAGGAGAAACTAGTGTCTCTTTATTTTCGGAACGATGAGCCGAATTACAGGATCTATGGAAGAACTATTTTTGAAGATGAAAATGAGCCCAACAAAGAGCAAGCAAGTTTGGAATCTAAAGAAAAAGAAGATTTCAAATTTTCTCAATCTGACCAAGAGGGTGAAGATTCTGAATGTGCTCAAGCTAATCTTTATATGGGACCAAAGTGAAAATAATGGAGAAGGAGATGCTAAATTTATTAAATTACTAGATGAACTAGATAACTGTCATCTCCTTGAATTCAAAGCAAACCTTACTCTCAACAACAGTAAAAAATGTGAACAAAGACTGCTAAAATTTCTTAAAGATAATACCAACCTCAGAGAGCTAAAAATAACGACTTCAAACACTAACTTTCCTTCCCATGCATTAAAGGCACTTGCCAAAAACCACTCTCTTCGAAGTCTAACTCTCCACTAAACCCCAACATTTCCATCAAAATTTCCCATAAGCACCCTCAAAGATCCATAATTAAATAAAAACCTTTACCATAAAACAACCCCCATTTTTTATTACCAAACTTATTCACAACATAGAGATATCTACCTGGGGTTTTGGGGTTTTGGGGTTTTGGGG